TAAAAGTACTCTGGATAGGCTAAAAAGGTTTTTCAATGTATTTAGGAGGAATCCGTTGTTGGGTGCCCCTGTACTTTTTCTCTTGCCCTCTTCTTTTTCTTTTCTTGGAGCCCTCCCTTTTCTTCTTTTTTTTTTTCTTTTTTCTTTTTCTAAAAAGACCTCATTTAACTTCAGTCATTTAAAGTTTTCTCTTGCCCGTTTGATTGATTCTCCTAGCTCATGGGTATGGTTTGAAAACTCTCACTCCCGGAACAAGTCAGCTGTCAAAGTTTTATTTCGCCGCTAAAACTAATGGCAGCACAAGTGCGGGAAGAGATCGAACGAAGTGATGTGATTCCACTATTGGTGGATACAGGCGGTTAAGGGGTGAATTTTTTAGGACATAATTTGGCCAGTATAGAGATCTTTAGAAGGAATAATATAGTCCCTGATAGCTTGCATTCTTAGGATCTTAACTTAACGGCTATTTATGATGCCCAGTCTTAACACTAGAATTTAGTTTAGCATGAGAAGATATTGTCAGAAGATCACCACCTTAACCCTAATATCCGCGAGACCGCAACTCCAAACACGCATCAAGGCAATTTGTTTCACCCGTAGCTTATCATAATATATTAATTCTCAGATAGATCCCTGGTATATACTCTGGTATTCTAGCGGCCAGAAGGGGGTTCATTTACTAAACACTAATACGAGATATATCACTGGTCACTTTGTTTGATATCTGCCAGCCATAGAAAACTAAACGTTAAAGAAAGATGGCCGCGTATCGATACGTACCACCTGATGAATTCACTCCTGAGACGCGTGTGAACTGGATCAGTCTTGGCAAGGTAACAAAATGGACGCAGGAAGAGGAAGGAATCGTAGACAAGTTTACTCTCTTTCTGGATGGCAACCTCAAAATCTACATCTACCTGTTATCTCATTCAACCTTTCGGGTACGCTTCAATCCTGATCCCCAAGCTCCGTACGTAAAAAGTCGTTCCCCGGCGACTGTGGTGGAGCGGATCGAGGCGCATAAGATCAAAGTAAAGGAGGAGGGAGGGTATCTAAAGATAGGTACTGATTTCATTGAGGTGAGTATCAATTAGAAATGACCAATCAGAATAGTTTTCTAGAAAACTGCTCACTATAATACTTTACACTCCCCAGATAAGGATTTTTTATTCACTCCTACTCCTGTTTTGCTATGTCGCAGTACCCATACTCCCTTCGGACACTCAGGGCCTGTTTAAGCCATGACTATTTCATTAAATATGCATATTATGTTAAATGATATTTAGAACGGTTTGCTTCCGTCAGTGATCCTAAAAAGTGAACTACATATGCGGCTGAACGAAAAAAACACGTGAAACATGATTTCAAATAACACGTGACATTGCTTCGTCAATGACGTCACAAAACACGTTTTCTTAAAATGGGAAGGGTTGCAAATCTTAATCTTAGGAATTTTCACCACCAAAATGTTACATAGACAGTGTAAGTCCAAAATTCGCTTTGTATGATTGGAAATGTTATTTATCCTATTAGCTATTTAACTAATTAATAAGTCACGTGACCCTTCCTATGTAACGTAAAAACACATACAAGGCGAATTTTTAAAAACCTTTTTAGTAGCCTCTGAAATGTGCCTAAAAGAACTTGTTGCTCTTTCATTATCCTTTCCCCATTTTACAGTAAATATTTTGACCGTTAATTCTAAATTATCAGTCACGTGACGAAAATTTAAGCTTCTAAAAGGCACTCATATTGCTGAGGCCATTAAGCTACATTTGTAGTTCAATTTTCAGTATCACTGATAGAAACAAACCGTTTTAAATAGCATTTTATCAAAATATGCATATTTGATTAGATAGTCAGGCCTGAGCAGTTACTATTTTCCGTCAAGATTGCCCATTTCAAACTTATGGACATTTAGGGCTGAAATGTAATCATTGGCCAACAATTCCCTGCAGCCTCTCTTAAAGGAAATCAAGACTTTTTTCTGGTACACTAACTGCATATTTTAACTGGTAGTGTATTCCTTTATAGTGTATATTCACGGGACCTAAAATGCTGCCTCCTCTGAGGCGAAATCCCTGAGGGGCAATTTAAGGTGCTGGGCAGAGTTTAACTGGGTTCTAGAAAACCTCAGAGCTCGCATATCATGTGACCCCATTAAACAATTTTGACTCACCAGCTTAAGAAAAACTTTTCCTAATCCGATTTCCCCAATAGATATGTGTGAATTTGAAGAAGTACGCTTTGTCGGTGTATCGCTCTGGACAGCTGATCCACGCTGACCCCTCTGATTACAATCTTGTCTATGTTGACCGCAAAGATGGAGGTGAAGCCGTAGCCCAGTTCAAGATGGCGCCAACTAACGCTCAGTATTACGGTTTCGGAGAAAAGGCTGGTGCTACGGTTGATAAGCGCCGTGTACCTAAACAGCACTTTTTTGGTCAACTTGCGGGTGGAAGTCACAAGATCGGTGCTGCCATGACGTTCTTTAACTTTGATAACTTTGGCTACACGGCTCCTGATCTAACACCAGAGGGGGAGGTACAAGGCCCTTTAAATCCAAATTCTCCATTGTACCAGTCCTCGCCGTTCCTTATTGAGTGGAACCCAAGCCCCGATGGCGCGTTCGCCGGACCTTGTTACGCTTACGGCATTTTGATTGACAACACTTCGCAGACCTTCGTAAACTTCCGGCAGGGCGACCAGTACTACTTCGGTGCGCTTCACGGTGAACTTGATTACTACTTCTTTGCTGCTAACCACGTTGCAGAGGTGCTGAACGAGTTTACTCAGTTGACCGGACGCACCCAACTGAAGCCAAAGTACATTTTTGGATACCATCAGGGAGGATATGGTCCCAGCTACAATACCAAATGGAAGCTAATGGAGGTCGCGCTTAAGTACCGTCAGTGGATGATTCCTATCGATGGCCTGCATGTTGATGTCGACATTCAGGTGAGAACCATGCATGTATCGGTGTTGGAACTCAGGGTTAAAAGATAAAAGGAAAGTGTAGTTTTCGTTTGACGCTTATTAGATTTCTCTAGTTATACAATATCCGAAAAATAAAATAATTTATAATTACTACACTTGTATACTTCAGCACGGTATTTACCCATCAGCAGCTAGTGTAAAATAAGTACAATTTCTCATGGGGTCCGCGAAAATAAATGTCAATTTTCGCAAGAATTGTGAAAACACAGGTAAAATTCTACAAATTTCATGTGTAATATAAGATGTCATTTTGTTAAATTGGACATTTATTTTCATGCACTTGCATAAGAAATTTCCTTTGGTGTTATTACAGACAACTAATTACACCCATAGCCCTTGAAAAATGTAAAAGAGATGGCGTTATTGTTTAAATTACTCTGAAAATTAAAATTACTTAATTTGCTGATGGATTCCTTCTTAACACATTTGACTTCGGATTTGTCTCTCCGGGCTCAAGCTTTGCCATCGCGTTCTTTCCTTAGACAAGAAACTTTTCCTTAATTTGTCTCTCTGCATAGAATGGGTACTAACACGTTTTGCTGACTAGAGCTTAAACCCCGTGGTAGTCTAGCATCTCGCCCAGAGTGGAGTAATAATAATTCTAGGTGCTTCATGTGGCTGAGACCGTGATAAGCTCTGCGTATTGGCATGCCCACAAATCTCCCCTTCACCTTTTGCATTATGACGTACTCTTCCCTACTTTCAGGACAATTATCGCACATTTACACATAGCAAAACCAAGTTCCCAAACCCCAAAGAAATGTTCAACGCCTTGCATGATTGGGGCTTCAAATGCAGTACCAACATCACACCAATCATCAGCTGTAACAAGGATGAAAATGGAGAGTACAGCCCATACAAAGCTTTAGACACTGGCAAAGCAAACGACATCTTTGTAATGAACATCCGCGAGGACGGTAGCGGTAGCGCAGAGCACTTTATCGGTAATGTGAATTATGGGCGTGGAATGTTGACTTGGGGCCACTATCCCGATCTGGGACGGGCGGACGCACAGAAGTGGTGGGGAGAGCAGTACCGCGATCTTTTGGATTGGGGTTTGGATTTTGTGTGGCAAGACATGACAACTCCAGCCATGAAAGCCAGTATTCATCAGCCTGACTGTCCACTTTTGTCTTTTCCTATGGATATAATGATTAGTGATAACGAGGAGACCAGGTACATTCTACGACGTTTAAATGTAAATCAAATGAGAATTGTTATATTCCTAGACTTTCACTCAACTAAACAGGGATTACCATTGTTGATTCTTGGTCACGTGGCCTTGACTCAAATCAATGTCAGTGTTCTCCTTATAAGGCGGTAACCGTTAAAATTTACCGTCTGAAGCAACACTTCTTACCGCCTGCAACCACTTGAAGGTTTACTAAAATTAAATAAATTGTTTTAAAAAATACCTAAGTTATGATCTGATCCGATTTTTTTTTTTTTTTTTTTTTTTTTTTTTGCCTTACCGGCCATGAATGGTCCCTAACCTACTGAGCTAAAATTTAGGGAGAACACTGAATGTATCCCGATCATGATACATTAAGCAATGTACCCTGCTCGGGATACATTACAGCACGTGGTCAAAGCATGGTGGAAAGAGGCGTGACAGAAGGCGGGAAAAACACTGCCAGTTTTCTTTTTCGTGAACACAACAACACAAACACGAAGCCTCAAGCTAAAAAGCAACGATTTTTAAAGTTATCCCAGAAGAGAAACAGCAGCTAGTGGAGGAAAAAGATGCCGATAATATAAGGAAAGTACTTTGTAAATCATTCATTCAGTGGTTTTAAGAATTAGATTTGTGTTGTTATAAGTACCGAGTCGACTGCTTTGGTTCACTCCGGTTATTCTTTTGTTGCTGTTGAAGTGAAAGGCTAGATATATAACAAAACACTTAATGTCAGGTCCCTCGGGGAACCAGTTAGTTTTGTTTTCCCTCGAGTCCTGATGTTTCCCGAGACGAAGTCGAGGGAAACATCAGAACTCTCGAGAAAACAAAACTAACTGTTTCCCTCGGGATCTGACATTAAGTGCATAGTATTAAACATTGAAAATCTTAGTGACTATAGATAGGTGTGAAAAAATATAGGTTGAATGGTACACTATTCGAGTATTTTCGCTTCAGTCTATACCAGTAACGAAATAAGGGATTTGACGACCCAGAAAATAAACTTTGTAAACTTGCGGAAATTGACCATTGTGCAGCCCCCGGCAACTTTGGTAAACAGATTGAGTACAAAACTTTCTAGTAAAATAAAAAGGGAGAAACGGGGAAAGAAGATTTTTCCAAACCACGGAACCACTTTTTCATAGCAAATTCACCATCTACGTACAGAGGGCCGAGCTACAGTATTTTAGTCAAATCCAGCTAGTGGTCTATTATCAATGCTGCGTTCTGATTGGTTGAGCTACCACTAGGCTATATGTTATAGCCCACTAGTAGCGAAAAGCGCCGGCTTTGGAAACCAAAATAATGCTGGCTGAATAGCGTTTTGCTAGCTAAAGTTGTTTTGTCTCGGATATTTTTGACCAACTAGTTGGATTTTACTAAAACAATTATTCCTCTCGCCCTCATGGCCTCTGAGTCAATACTCAGAGCCCATTCGAGGTTGAGGAATAATTGTTAAATATACCAGAACACTGAAGTGCTATTTATTGCAATCCCATCGTCCATTTAGGTACGCGAAGCAAAGCACGCATCATGACAAGAAGCCGTTCGCTAAGATTCGCTGTCTCTATAACTACAACCTCTGTAAAGCGACGTATCAAGGACTGCAACGTATCCAGCCAAACAAACGGCATTTTATCATCGCACGAGGGGGATTTGTTGGTGTTCACCGCTATGCAGGACTTTGGACAGGTTCAGTTATCCTTCAATTCCTTTTTACTCGCTAAGAGGAAGTTATGAGGGTAGTATTGCACAGTTATTACCTGAATTCTTTGTTCAATGCACAGTTCGCTCGAGATTTAGGAACAAAGTAAAGTGTATCGCTGATTCTTTTAAAAAGTGGCCCCTAAATAACTCGAACTTGGCCATAGCCATTATCATCATCATCATTATCATCATCATTATTATCATCAACATTTTTTCTTTTTCTTCTTCTTCGACATCTTCCTCTTCTTATTACATAGTTTAACAGATTAATAGTGTACTCTTCTCACATTTCTTATCTATGCTTTCAGGTGACAGTACCTCTAACTGGCAGTTTATTCAGATGAACATTCCTCTCATCCTCGGTATCGGACTTTCTGCTCAGCCAGTATCTGGCTGCGACATTGGTGGTTTTTGCGCAGCTTGGCAGGTAAGTGCTTAACCAGACCCAGAGACAGCTAATAAGGATCAATATTCACCAGCGAGATTATTTTCTTTTAATTGGCTAAATAACTTTTAACTTGGGGGAGCCACAAGTATAGTTTTGGCAACCGCCAGATTCGTGGCTTCAAAGTAGCAATACTGGTTTTCATGCAAATTGCAATTGGTACGTTTGGCTATAGCCGTTAGCCGGGGCACTATATCAGATGTACTGTCGAAAGCCAAATATTGAACAGCTTGTTTGCACAAGTATAGGCTCCCACAGCGTCTTATTATTTTTTTCTTATCAGGGCCAGATTGTTGATCCCGAAATGCTTGCGCGTTGGACTATCATGGGAGCATTCCTGCCATGGTTCCGCAATCATTATGATAACTACTACAAGCCGTACCAGGAGCCGTACATGTACGCGGAGCCCGTCCCTAGCATTTGCCGCAAGTACATTGAGATGCGTTACCAGTTAATTCAGTATATCTACGACGCTATGTACGAGAATACGCAGACTGGCAAGCCGATTTGTCGTCCTCTCTTCATGGACGAGATCAAGCCAGGTAAGGCTTCCCTCAGCAATTGAAAGAGGCGGATCCCTTTCTAAGTGATCACATAAAACTATCTCTGATTTGATTAGAAACTTGCGTTTCGCTCGTCTCTAAGCCATCCGAACACCCTCTTCTACGCCCCCATTACCAACCATCAAAACAGGTCCTGTCGGAAACAATCCGTACGCGACCACTATCCTTGTTATCAAGTGTAACGACAAGGTCATGGACAGCCTACATTCAGATCAACGTCTCCTATTTCATTTAGGTCACATGTAAAAGGGTTATAGAAGGTCTGTTAACAGACCTATTTTCTCTTTAAAGATCTTCGAGCGCACCTTATGAAAATAGTATAATACCGCGTTTACGTCATAATGAAAACGTCCTCATCAAGCCACGCAAACCTAGAACACGGTCTTGATTTTTTAATATGGGACGAAGGGTATTCGCCATCATGATGTCGTTAGAAGTCTGAGGAGCGGTTGATCGCATTATTTTCTAGGTAACCTTCATCTTTCGTTTACTATGAGGACTTGAATTATTCTTGTACCTTGGCAAGATCCCATATATTTTCGTAAACTGCTATTTTCGTCACACTGTCCGCGACAACGCGCGTCCTGCATTATTGACAAACTGTTCCTTCTTCCATACTATACTTACATTTTACTTTGTTCTACAGGAGAGTTCAACAATGATCCTTATGCTGATGATGACCATCTATGGGGATTCGGTGGTTACACCTCAAATCGTCTGGACGATCAGTTTTTTCTTGGCAAGGACATGTTAGTGGCACCAATAGTCAATCCAGGTATCATTCTGGACTCTTTAACCAGTTTTTGACAGGTATATGCTGTAGTTTCCAAAACAAAAGGAGTTAAAGGGGGCCTTAATTTATTATTCGCTTATTAATCTCTTGGGATAAATTTATTTTATCCTAAATGTCAAAGCCATATTCCGTTAACCTAGGATCTACGCTAAATTTATTTAACAATAGCACCTCATAAACAACAGAAACGCTTTCGTTCTTACCGAGATCAAAGATTTCTTGAGACAGGGCGCCAAAAATCAAAATCTCTTGTTGAAAACCGTAAGAACTCCGGAAGAAACGCACTACTCAAAAATTTGTTAGTTTAGAAGTTCTATTTCCCCTGATAACTTGATCAGTTTTATGTATGTGCCATTTGAGACAGTGCCGGATCCAGACCTTGAGATCATCCAGACCCTTAGATAAGAGAGGGTCTGGGCTCCCCCCCAAATTTTTTTGGCCCTTCGGGCCTCCGTTTGGTCTCAAGATAAGAAGTGAGGGTGGGGGGGCTCCCCTGGATCCGCCGCTGTGAGTGAGAAATCTACAGGAAGGTCAGGAGCTTTAGTGTCCGCGAGGACGATTGCAGCTGCTAAGGGTCTGGGGCCTTACATCGTGCTCACTGATTTTTCCTCTTTTAAGGTCAAACAAATCGAGCCGTGTACCTCCCTGCTGGGAGCCAGTGGTACCGTTTCACAAACGACAAGTCGCCACTTGGAGCTCCCGTAGATGGAGGGGTAGAGTTTGACTTCTATGCCCCTTGGAATGACAAAAGCAGAGACAACTGCGCTATATACATCCGTGAAGGCGCGATTATTCCCAAGAGGGAACTGGAACAATACATCGGGGAGCTGCACTCTCAGGGAAAGATGAACCCCATTACATTTAGCATCTACCCAGGCAGGAACAGCAGCTACAAACTCTATCTTGATGACGATGGTGTCAGTAACAAAGCAGAGACATCTGGAGAATACCGTTTGACCCAGATTACACATGAAGGTTAGATGAAGTGTATTTTGCAGTTTAGTTGAATTCTCGGTTTAAGTTTTACTTTCCATTGTTTACATTAATAATCATCAGTAATGGTTCTTACTATAAATTGATTATCTGCCTCTGCCTTTTTAATGCTATAACGTTTTTTGGAGAAACAAATTTGACGTTTTTGAAAGAACTTTTTCTAATTTAGCTTTGAGGTTGCAAAGGAATATGATAAAGAGACTGTAAATTCTCGAAGAGCCAAATGAACGAAACTCATGGTTTCCAAAACGTACCCATAATACCTTGCGGCCCTGATGAAAAATTATCAGATACGACTAAACGCGCCTAGTTTGTTCAAATCGAGATGGTTTGGACTTACTTTACCAATTTTCGGTTCATCTTTTCGTTAATTCTAAAAATGGTATACTCGCTGTGACAACTATTGTGCATCTTCGAAATGAAAAGGAAAATAAAGTTTGAACCAAGGATAGAATTGAACCACAACATGTACACCTGATTTTTTTTTTCTTAGACTCCTAAATAATTCAAATTTCTAAATCAATGGTAAAATATCAAACTAGTTGCGAGGTTAGGGAACTTAAGAACCACGACGAAGTTCACGACGACAACGTCTGTTGACTGGGAAAAGACTGGAACGAGAACGTGAAAAGTGCGAAGAGGTTTAATAACTTGTAAATTAAATACTTAAACTCTAGCTTACCAAAAATGTATTAGTATGTGTAATCAAATGGTGACGAGTGAAATTAGGGAATAATTTCACGCGCGTTTTGTCCAAATCCTTATAATCATTAGCATTTGGACAAAACGCAAGTGAAATTATTCCCTAATTTCACTAGTATACCATTTGATTACCTATTAATATCATGGGTGACGAATTACGATAGCAATCTTGGATTTTTGACATGTTTATCCTGGATCGTATCGATCGACAACTCCTGCACTCTCTCGAACGTTTAGAGCTTAAATTTGGCTTAAGTTCAGAGTTTTTCGACAAAATACCTGTAAGAATCCTTCTTGATGTGCTCTTTCGTTTGTTCAGGTTTTCTAAAGCGTCTTTTTGTGCCCTGACATCTTCATTCATGACATTTTAAAACTTCGTCGCCATCTTGACACTGAGACGTACGGAAGCTTGCCATGGCAATTTTGTAATTTCACATGTGAAATTACAAATTAACGCTGAAATTTCGCGCCAAAATTAAGGAGTAATTCGTCACCTATGATATTAATAATGTAATGGCCCTTAGACATGTTTTCGTCAGACGAGCAAATTTCACCAAGCCTCGTTTTGAAATTGTAAAGTTGCAAAGTTTTCAATATATGAATTCCCAAAGGCAGTAGAGTTGAAAAGAATACCAACCCACAAAAAGTGCAAGGCTTGGTGGTAAGAATTTGCTTGTCTGACGTAATCACGCATAAGGCCTATTGTAAACTAAAGGGAGTTTTTACCCACTTGGCCAGCATCTATGCAAATTTATTAGAACCAGGAGCACATGAACTCCTGATTGGAACAAAAGGAAACGTGTACATAAGAAAAGAGTTCACATCGCACAACATTGCTTGGTAGATACACCAACTTACATATACGGCCGCTGTTTCATTTCATTGATATGGTCATGACTGTGACTGAATCTTTTTTGAACTCCTTCCTTGAGTAAATGGCATCATGAGGTTGTCTAAACTTCAGGAAATTATATCGTTAGTTTTTAGCTGTTTTTTTTTTTTTTCATTTTAGATTGATTATTAATTAGTTTTGTGCATGTTAAATTATTATTCTGTTTGTTATGTGCATAGAAAGTGAATACATATAAATTTTCGGATGTTATTTGATCCACACTAGGGATTTCTGACGGTCAACGGATCCGCATCAAGCGTCTGTACGACAAATTCACACCACCTGAGACGTTCTACTACTTGAGCATGCCGGGAACTCTCAGCCCAAAACTCGTCAAAGCTGCTGGTACTTCACTGAAGCAGAAGACTGGGGCAACAGACAGCGAGGCTGCAAATGTTCTCCAAAATTCCCAGGATACACCAGGAGCGTATTACTACAACAGTTTCCTGAAGACAACCTTCATCAAGATCTTCGATACTTCCAAAGATATCACTGTCGAAGTTACCTTTTAAGATGAAGACAAGAAAAGAAAATAGAAATGGTTCAAAAGCTTAGCAAACGAGGATTCCTAAAAATCTTAACATTTAACAAGGAGTATATGACTAGTTTTAACTTATAGTATATAACTAGATTGTACTTAATGAGAACCTCAATATGCCAAAAGGGCAGGGTCAAGAAGCAATGGTCATAGTAGACATAAAATTGGGTTCGTTTAACACTACTGATATTTTAGGGGTTTTCTCTCGTGATCTGCAAAAGTATACACTCTGTGAAAGATACCGAGAGCAAATAAAATCACTTTGTAATGAGCTAAGAAAATACTGCAAAAGCGCTGCCTATTATGGAGGCCAGGGTAAGGAGACGAAAATTAAAACAATGAACGTAACTGGAGACAAAGAAAAAAAAAAACTTAGAATATTACATACTTCAGCAAGTAACTCCAGTTATTTAGCTTAAATTTCTAATTTTAAACGACCCTCCAAAGCAGTATAGTGACTCAGTTAAGCTACTTGACTTTGGCAGACGTAAAGGTTCATCAACATGATGATGGGCATTTTATAGTTACTGAAAATGTAACTCTTTATGATCTTTTAGTTCGAAATAAATAATCTGTTTGGTAGTGGTATCTGTGCATTTTTCCCTGGTTGCACTTGATAAAATATGGTAGATGGTTGAGAGCAAAAGTTGGTTGAATAAACGTTTGCTTCACGTGACAGAGACGTAACTTTAGAGATACAGTCAAACCTGCAATTAAGCAGACCTGTGTTAAGCGGTTAACTCTATTAAGCGGTCGGAGTCCGTTTGAAAACGCTGGAAATAAACTCCAAATTGATTTTACCTTCGTTCTTTCTTTGTTTCTTTTTCTTAAATAAAGTTAGGAGCAAATATCAAACAATACGAAGTCCAATTTGCTGAAGAACTAATTCAAACATGCTTTCCTGATAGGAAAGGTTGCTGAGATGGCGTCAGTATAGAAGCGGCATCGTGCTGTTCCATACTCAGAGCAAAAAAACTTGCTCTATAGCAATTGACAATAAATGGCTTTAAAACAAGACGGCGTGCATTTTTCCTTTGTCCTAAGCAGTGTAATTAAAGTGAGGGTCTTATCCTAAACAGGGTGTAAAGTTTAGGATTTTTTTATGCTAAACAGAGTGAGGATTTCAAACCCTCAGCGGCTCACCTAGACCAGAATATAGAATATTTGCCAAGTACCTCAGCTCATCATTCTCTCTTTCCAACTTTTGCTGGAACTTTAATGGAGATAAAACTATTGGGACACTTAACACGATAAGAGTAAAACTGACTCCCTTTCCCCATCGCCCCCAAGCAATGCTTGCAGTGGGGAGGGGAGGGCCATTAGGGACATACGAACTATTGAAAAAGTGGATCTTATGCTACATTTTATTGCAAATTTTATGTTTCCTCTGTTAAAGGAAGGTTTTCAATAATTCTCCTAAGGATTTTTGACCTCTATTGTTGTAGAACGGTATATTGAATTGGTCTTAGGACCCCTTACCCCTCCCCCCGACAATTTCTGGTTAATTTGTTCTGTTCCCAGGTCCCACTCGTGAATTAACGGGGACCATAATTTATGTCACAACAGAGCGCAAACCGCGTTTTCTCTTAGCTTCTGAACTTTAGGGCGTATTTTAAAGATTATACTGTGATGAAAATATCTGGTTGTGTGGCGTTAGTGACAGGTGGAGCTTCAGGGATAGGACGAGGACGTTGCGAAGTACTGCTGCAGCGCAACGCCAAGGTATTTATTTCGACTTTGGATAGCCGCCAGCGCGTTATGCAGCGTTATGCGGGTCAGTAGTTCATGTATGACCCCATGAAATGTCCTGAGGCACCGGTGCCATGTCGGGCCTCTAGGCACAGAAGTAACTGTAGTGAAGTGTAGTAAATGTAGTAGTTGTAGTAGTTGTAGTAGCTGTAGTATCTGTAGTAAGTGTAGTATCTGTAGTAAGTGTAGTAAGTGTAGTAAGTGAAGTAAGTGTAGTAGATGTAGTAGTTGTAGTAAGTGTAGTAGATGTAGTAGTTGTAGTAAGTGTAGTATCTGTAGTAGCTGTAGTAAGTGTAGTATCTGTAGTAAGTGTAGTATCTGTAGTAAGTGTAGTATCTGTAGTAAGTGTAGTAAGTGTAGTAAGTGTAGTAAGTGTAGTAGTTGTAGTAAGTGTAGTAAGTGTAGTAAGTGTAGTAAGTGTAGTAGGTGTAGTAAGTGTAGTAGTTGTAGTAAGTGTAGTAGATGTAGTAGTTGTAGTAAGTGTAGTAGCTGTAGTAAGTGTAGTATCTGTAGTAAGTGTAGTATCTGTAGTAAGTGTAGTAAGTGTAGTAGCTGTAGTAAGTGTAGTAGCTGTAGTAACTGTAGTAGCTGTAGTAGGTGTAGTATCTGTAGTAAGTGTAGTAAGTGTAGTAGGTGTAGTAGCTGTAGTAGCTGTAGTAAGTGTAGTATCTGTAGTAAGTGTAGTAGGTGTACTAGCTGTAGTAGCTGTAGCAGCTGTAGTAAGTGTAGTAGATGTAGTAGCTGTACTAGCTGTAGTAAGTGTAGTAGCTGTAGTAAGTGTAGTATCTGTAGTAAGTGTAGTAAGTGTAGTATCTGTAGTAGGTGTAGTAGCTGTAGTACCCGTAGTAAGTGTAGTATCTGTAGTAAGTGTAGTATCTGTAGTAAGTGTAGTAAGTGTAGTAGCTGTAGTAAGGGTAGTAGGTGTAGTAGCTGTACTAGCTGTAGTAAGTGTAGTAGCTGTAGTAAGTGTAGTATCTGTAGTAAGTGTAGTAAGTGTAGTAAGTGTAGTAGATGTAGTAGCTGTAGTAAGTGTAGTATCTGTAGTAAGTGTAGTAAGTGTAGTATCTGTAGTAAGTGTAGTAGGTGTAGGTGTAGTATCGAAAATAAGTGTAGCTTGTTGGAGCTGTAAATTGACCTTTGCAGGCCGTCGTATTGTGGCTTAAATGTGGCAAAAATTCAGTGGTGACTGATAGTGTTAAAGTGTAGTATCTGTTAGTAGCTGTAGCTGTAGTAAGTGTAGTATCTGTAGTAAGTGTAGTAAGTGTAGTAGGTGTAGTAGCTGTAGTAGCTGTAGTAAGTGTAGTAGCTGTAGTAAGTGTAGTAGCTGTAGTAAGTGTAGTAGCTGTAGTAGTTGTAGTAAGTGTAGTAGCTGTAGTAGGTGTAGTACCTGTAGTAGCTGTAGTAGCTGTGGTAGGTGTAGTATCTGTAGTAAATAAATAACTATTCGTTGTGTTTAAACACTAAAAGATGGAATCCGGAATCCGGAATCCGGAATCCGGAAACGAAATCATGAAAAGGGAAACGGAATACGGAATCAAATATCAATGATAGAAAATTAAATTATTCACATTGCATAACTTAGTACAATCCAAAGAGAATTTGTTTTAGTTTGTCTTTGCAGTTCCCTGAAATATATTCTTGTTAAGGTGTGCTACACATGTAGTGTAGTAATTTTTATTCACGAGTCTATGGGTTGAATACTACAGTTAAACACTCCCTTTTGGGTGGTAGTATTTGGTCTCAGACCACATTACGTGATTGTCCCCAAAAATACTCAACATGTGACCGACCCAAGACGTCACCACTGAGTTACAGCGTTTTAGCAGTAAGTTCAACTTTTTCGCCAAGCTGAATGCTGATAGAATATTGGTGTTGTTGCATTTGCGTTGATGTCCGAATTTCACTTTGAAGAGGCTTTTAAAACATAATGCATTAATTTGATGTAATCAGTTGCGGAATCAAGCAAATGCATGCACAATTCTCTCAGTCTTCTCTATGGACTCCACAATGCCATGGATCTCTTGAGCAAGTTGTTTTAGATAAATAAAATTGAAGACAACTCAGAAAAGACACCCGGGAAATACTTGACAATGACGCCTTTAATTTCAGTCATATAAACGACGTCTCTATCAATGTCGATTTAAACAAAACCTGTCTTCATATAACCTTCCTCTTTTTAAAGGAACTCAGTAGTTGTCAGTGACATCTTCTCAGCTATAATTTTTCTCCTCGCTTCGCTGTTCCCTGAGAATGTGCGTTCATTGCCGGAAGTGGTATGAAGAGTCTTGTTACCGGAATCTAATCCTCTTATATAGCCTGATACAGCAGTCTCCTCTGCCCAGGTAATTTATTGATTTATGTCTTTATTTGATCTGTTTATTTATTGTGTTGTCATTGCCAATATTTTTTGTGAAATAGATCATTTGGAACCCTCTTTCACATATTGTGTATTCTGTTTCCATTTCCGTGATTCTGTTTCTGGATTCCAGATTATGGATTCCGGATTCCGGATTCCAGATTCCAGATTCCGGATTCCAGGTTTTAGTGCCCCAGTGTTTAAAAGCTTAGACTTTCCGTCTTGTTGAAATCTGACATTGCAAGTTCTAGCTTCCACTCCTCCTCTCCTGGGGGGAACTGCTTGAAGTTTTGCACCAGCATGGGTGGATTGAAAAGCTTCTTCCCCCCAGTAAATAGACGGCTCTTGGAAAAGGGCAAAGGGGTAGCAGTGTTCTCAATTGAAGTAAACAGCTTAGGCCAGGGGCATACATGTACCCAGCCTTTTCTGGCACTTTGAGGTGGGTGGAGGAGGGGGGAGAGGCAGAAGGAGGGGTCTAACTTTTTTAAAGTCACAATGTTACAAGTCAATTTTTTCGATGCTTGTTTAAAATGATGGTAATTAATTGAGTAATTTTGAAAGTCAATTGAAATCAATAGTTTGACTTCTTGAGATCATCCATCTTGATTGATTTTTGCAATCATGTGATTCATTTTATTGATTCATGTCAAAAACTTTAAATTATTTAATTGGTTGATGTGCTGTAATAAAGTTTCCACTCTTTGGCTACCGTCAAACGGCATCAGAAGTATTTTTGACTTGCTGATAAGTTTGACTGGACACTTCATTCATGCGGGACTGTTCAATTATTATGGCTAGGAGACAAAGGCAGGGTTGTTTTGTATGTCAGTTCCAATGAAAAATTCTTAATTATTAGTGAGTTTTAGATCATTTTATTCATGCCCCAGGTTTGAAAATGGCTGTAATGAATATGATGTTATTCAGGATAACATTATAAACCTCGGTTGATTCCCAATTCCCTATGTCTCCCAGCCCTAATTTATGATAATTAGGGATGGGAGACAAAGGAAATATAGTATCAACTTGGTTAAAAAATTTTAACTTGAACTTATTTTTGACCTGTAACATATATAGTCAAACGAGTGATGTACATACTATTAAAACTGTTTCCAGTTACAGCTAGCTCAATTATCAAAATATCCATCTTTGAATTAAAGAAAAATCCAGATTTGAATTTTTAGTATAAAAGAAACCCACCTCGCATTTTTCTCTTAGGATTCAAGGGCCTAAAAAAGATATCAAGTCTTTGTCGACCATGAATTAGGAATAAGTTTCTCATACACATCAAGTGAAGTTTGCATAAACAGAGAACTCAGGGAGGGGAGCCTGAAGGGGCATACCCAGGGGTGTGTTAAAGGGGATCCAGACCCTCCCTCCCCTGCCCCTTCTCTTAATTTGTGTAAATGCTGAGTTTTCAAATCTCGATGAAAATCTTCCTGCAGCTGAACTATATAGTTTTAAAGACATATCAGAGGCTATGTTCACCAGTTCTGGACAATATAATTTCCTTGGACTGGTATTGGAAATTTTTGCATTTATCTGTTTTGTTTACACAGAACCATCTTAACAGTATGAGATTTTAGATACCTACCATTCAAAGTTCCTTATGGACAGGGAGCAAATAATTGAACAGTCCCATGTGAACGAAGTGTACTCCCATCAAACTTATCAGCAAGTCAAAATTCTTCTGATGTCATTTAAAAGTAGCCAAAGAGTGGACATTTTATTAGAGCAAATCATTATCAACCAATAAAATTATTACAGATAACTGTACTGTGTAATGTAATATGATTGTAATAGTCTTATGTAATATAAGGTATGTAACTGAAAAGGTAATACTGTGGAAGGTTTATGAATGCGGGAGTTATTTCATAAGTAGCTGGAATATGGTTATCTGGGTGACCATAATCCTGAAAAGGACTTGTGTTGACATTGACTGATGTTTCGACAACCTTTGCTGTAGTCGATATTCAGAGTGATCAAAATGAGTTGCACACGTCGGTTGATATTGACCTGATTGGTTAATATCCAGACCTTTGAGCAAGTGAGGACGGTTTCAGTATCATGAAACATCTATTTATATAATCATCGCTACTTTCTCTTCCCCTTATATTGGATGCTAGTTCATTGCCTGGTTACCCCCTGTGGAATCTGACAAATGTGTACTGGATGAGTTGCACCCACAGTAAGATCCAGCAGTGCATGTCTTACAGTGCATGCAGCACGGAGGGAACAGATTAGATGATCAAAGGTGAATAGAACTGCTTCGTGACAGAATTCAACAAAAATAATGATAATAATAATAATAATAAGTAATAATAATAATAATAATGATGATGATGATGATAATAATTATAATAAGCTGATATAAATATGAAAGGCTGTCACTAAGATTTCAAGTTGCTGGGTATATGCAATTAGTAAGGTGGGGAACTCAACAGCCAGTGAGTTCTTGTGGTCTCGTTTTCTTTTGCTTCCTACGAAAATAGCTGGGGGTCATGCTCATAGTAGCCGGGGGAAATTCCCGGCCCCTGGACCTCGGTGACAGCCCTTAATATAATGACTGTGCCATGTAATAATATAACCTTGCATTCCACAGTGTGCATACTGAACTTTATTATTTTTATTATTATAATTATTATTATTATTCAGCCCTGAATATAATGACTGTACCATGAAATAATAACGTTGCATTCCACAGTGTGCATACTGAACTTTATTATTTTTATTATTATAATTATTATTATTATTCAGCCCTGAATATAATGACTGTACCATGAAATAATAACGTTGCATTCCACAGTGTGCATACTGAACTTTATTATTATTTTTGTTATTATTATAGTTATTATTATTCAGAGCTGCAGTGCTGCCTTTTCAAGAATTGTTCTTTGTGGGGAAGACTTGACATTGTTTGCAACAATGCAGCTGTTCTTTATGAGGGTGATTGGAATAAAACTCTAAATACAAACTTGGTAAGTTTTAATTTCTTCTTATTTTCTATAGCTCCATTTCCTTTGCACAGCACAGATGGCATACCCATCAGCTATGCCCTTTACTACAGCCCTCTTCAGTCAGTCAAATAACTGCAAGAAGGTCATCCACTTAACAATAAGTCTGCCGCAGCCTGCTTGAGGCACTTTACAAGTAGTCAAGTCAAGTAAACAGAATAAACATTTACACACTAAGCCAGTGAATACCAGAAAGAGTTAAGGGTGGAAGAGTCGTTTTAATTCTATAATGTTTCAGTATGCCATTCTACAGGTGTTATCCTCTTCAGTCTTGGCTATAATCCTTTCCCTTAATGTCGCTCAAATACACTTAAATTTCCCCTGGGATATTGCATCCCTAGACTCATGCAATGGAAAGGGGGTGATCCCTCGATCCTTCCATATCATTAATTGTTGCTTATAAGCTCCAACCCCCAGCTTATAAGCTCTCACAGTTATAGGCCCATGTACCAGCAAACAAAAACTACATCTGATTGTACCCCCCCCTCCTCCTCGAGCCCCCTCTAGTTTGTGTTGAGATGAATTCGGTTTAATTACCGTGACATTTTGAAGCTTAAAACCAGTGAATGCAAAACGCATTTTGATCAGCACCTCTGTAGATTGTTTTGATGCCCCTTTTTTAGACAACACCCCTCCGCTTATAAGCCATCCTTTAATCCTTACGAAGATGCGAAAGCCCAGGGCTTCAGTGATTTTGTCACCTCTGCGTCTTGCGTCCCTGGCGCATAAAAATCCCCAGAGACGCAAAATGGTTCATGGCATGAGTCCCTTAGGACTCAAAGATCGGTCGATCGATCTGAACATGCGTATTAATTTTGTAGAAATATCCTGTTCGTGTAGTTTCTGTGGCAGTTATTATGGCTGTTATTTAACGATGCATACTTCTTTTAGCCTTTGTTGTGCTTTAAAATAGAAGGACTATATTAATTTAAATTTCAGTATGCTGTAATACAGAGGTTTGGAGTCTGTCTTCAGATTAACCGTCTAATTACATAAAGGCCCAAGCATTTTCAATTTCGGACGCGTTGGTTCTGGACTGGAACTCGTGATTTTTCATAAGTTGAGTCCCAGGACTCACCATAACTATTTGTAACAAAACTACTGCAGGCTTATAAGCGGCCGTTTACAGTATCTACCCCCACATAGCATGAGTGCGTGCCTCCTGGTGTGAGTTTACAGGTCACCCACTAAGTATCAGTATTTAACTGTCACCAAGAGTCTTGTGTTATTCATGGTAATCACCTGGGATCAGTTGCATAAAACCGAAAATTAAGTAAAATCTGACATCTTTCGAACAGCCAACAACTCCCGGAATTTCTAGTCTTCTAAATACTGTGTCCTAAGCAACTGAGAAGTTGTAGAGTAGGGAAAGTAATGTATGATCCATATATGATAATTATTGTAGCCTGTGTTCAGTCGCCCCCTCACGTAATTGTCTTTTGTGAACATTCATGCATGCACATGTTAAGAGATTGGTAAGCAGGCTCATTGCTGAGCTCCTAATGTGCTATTTTGTATTTTACATTGGTAAGTGCCATCTATATTATTGAAGGCTTCAGATTCCTGATCTGGCTCTAAAGTCCCAAATAATCACTGGGCCCTGGAAAGCTGTTCAATGTTATCCCTTTTTACTTTCGAGTTTTAAAAATGTTGTGCGAAATGCAATAAGAACCACTAGTTAACAAAACAGTGGGAATGGTTAGGGGCTAGAACCTGTTTTACCATACTACAATATAGCGGTGATTTTAAAGTACATGTACAGCGTCGGGCCTAAAACTGGGTTAACAAGACGCTGTGGGAGCGTACACTTGGGTGTCGTTGTGTCGCACGTGTATGAGGATTTTTGGGTATGTCAGGCATGAGTGAGTGCAGTAGTGTTGTTAATTGTTAAGTGTTGGTTGAGATGGGAGAAAAAGGACACCTGGAATCATAGTAGACGTTGCTTGGTATGTGAATAGCTCGAATTTTTCCTCGGAATTCCTAACATAAACTGGCTCCTCGAATAGCGAATGTGAACGAATACTAAGAAATGTTATGGCCTGGGAGCAACCTCTCCATTTGGAGTGGCAAGCGAACTCGCGAGCGAGCCACGAAGCCGTGAGGAGTGAAGGAATAGAAGAGATTCCCCTTTCTTTCACTGCACCTAGCTCACGCGTCTCCTTTCGCGTGCCAATCGCATGTGACTTCTCTCCATATCCCTTAAATGGAGAGCTTACTCGCAGGCTAGAAATATTGTAATTTTTGTCATTGTGGGAGATAATTGCATCATCATCATAATGGTTCAATCCATTCCAAGCTTGCCCATCACAATCCAAAGGCACTAATCAAGTGCTGTGCTCGCATTGTGGACGTTTGCTTGCCCAGGTGTGGGGAATTTGTCATTTTGAATTTGTCATTTTCTACCACTTTTACAAACGAAAATCTATTGCATAAAGTACACGCACAAAAGAAACAAGCACAAAATAATTATTTGGTACCTCAAAACAGCGCCTTTACCGAACACTAACTGGAGGGGAGCGATTTTAAAGAGACCAGCACCCTGTTTTGGAAAAGACGTTATAGAGGGCTTTGAGAAATTGTTTTTGCTTGCAAAGGTCGCTAAGGCAAGATTTATGCGTAAAAATTACACTTTTGAAACAAAAGAACATTTCCTCGACGTGGTAAAATTTTGCTCTTCGGGGTCTGTCCTATCGGAACTACATTGTAGCTAATTTGCACTAGTGAAGTTATAATACTATTTCGTATTTTTTACGCGCTGGGTGAATTTGCGATTTTTAGCCTCTTTCTGGTAAACTTACCTTGTGCCTCAGCTTGCCTCTTCCCCAGGGTGGGGCATTTGCACACATTTTTAAGCTCATGGAGGCGTTTTTGCATAAACATGGGGTATTGGCAGATTTCTGGGTGGTGGGTGGAGGTCGGCGTGCTTGGAATTGAGTGAGCCATTTTTTTTGAGGTTTAATTCTATTGATTTCAATAAACAGCTTTTAATTCTGGCGTCAGTGGCTCCCTTTGCCCCAAAGTGTCCTAACCTGGACCAACACATACTGGAATGGTCTATGGAGCTAAAAGATCAACGTGAGAGCACACATTGTTTGAACTAAAAACTCATAAATGTTTTCTCCGGGTTCTGAGTTGAAAGCCTTTACCTAGAAACGTGACTCTTAAGCCCCGTGCAAACGGACGCAACATTGTTGGCCAACAACTCTCAACATTGTTGGATCTTACATGTTGCGTCCGTTTGCACACCCCGTTCGATGTTGTTGGATGTTGTTGCGTGTTGTTGAGCAAAGTTTGAAACCGGTCAAAACGCAACAACTCCCAACATTGTTGCGCCAACAGTGTTGGGAGTTCTTGCGTGCGTGTTGGCAGTGGTGTGCAAACGGATGCAACAACTCCCAACAATGTTGGGACCTGCAGTGCATCGTGAGAAGGATACAACCCATAAGTCTTTGTAAACCATGCGTAATAAGCGTGCGTGGCCCCAACAATGTTGGAAGAGCTTTGCAAACGGATCCAACATTGTTGCGCTACGCTTCGGTGATCACGGAACAAAAGAAGTGTTGGGAGATGTGGGCTGAAAAGTTTGACCGGTTTCAAATTTTGCGCAACAACATCCAACAACATGCAACAGGGTTTGCAAACTGACGCAACATGTAACGTCCAACAATGCAGGAAGTTGTTGGCTAACAGTGTTGCGTCCAACGGCCAACAACAAGATACAGGACATACAACAACCCGATGAGTACGAGACTGATTCAGATAACGAAAGTGACGAAGAGGGTGACTTTGAAGTAGTTTATGGCAGGACATGTATGACCAGGTCTGGAAGATCAGTACGAGATCATGACTGGTACGTCTGGATCTATGAGGCTGGTGTCATATTGATGGTTATACGACTGAATCTAATTTGTACTTACGACAGCAAAAATCGGTTAAGAGAGGTCTTAATAGTTATCGCTTACCCATTTTTACTTCTTCGGTTAGATAATTATGTTCTTTTCTATTTTCTTCACGTTCTTATAAATTGTACCAGTGGCTGAGTTTATGTGAACAGTCCGGGAGATATCCATTTCTGGATATAATTATCGTGCGTTGTGATTGCTTGAGATCAAAACCAAAACAAAGTAAATTTGGCCGAGAGCTACTGGAGATGAGTAGAAGTGAAACAAATTTTTGATTGCGGCCACTTGTAATGCGGCCATCGGCCGAGAGAAAATTAAGTAATACGAAATCACTGCACGGAAAGATAACATAAATAAAATAATTTATTCAGCGTACACTCTTGCACTCTGAAAGAAAGGAGCGAATTCTTTCCAGTACAAATTCATCATATAAACGTAGTGATCCTCGAATCGAAGCCAAAGAAAATGCTTAAACTGTATCGCGTCAGAGATAAATCCTGTAAGAAACAAAAATGACAAGAAATAATTAATCAATATGCGTGAAGTAGATCAGCTTTATGACGTCTCAACATGAGACCAGCCGCAAAAATAAAATTTTCTCTACAGCTTAATCTACCTGCTAGAAAGAAAATAATCGCAACAAGCGACATTTTACATCATGAGGTAAAAGTCGCTTAGGCCTACAGACCCCTTTTTATACCTTGTAAATTCGGATATGTAGATCGCTACCAGTGAAAATTCTACTTCCTATAAGAACGCGTGACAAAGAAGAGCAGGAAATCATCACATTCAGGGACAGAACAATTACAAAGAGCACAGAAAAAGACCTCTAAATGTGACACAAACAACAGCAAAGATAAGACTGATTGGCTCAGTTAAAGTTTGGAATCCTCCACGGTGTAGTCTACGGACTTTGGATTTAAGAACTAATAAAAATTGCAACGCCTTGCCACACGAACAATTCCAAATCAAACGAAACCAAAGATCAGTTTTGAATACGAAACGCTCACACAGTGAACCAGTAATGGCGACGAAATTACACACCTCACAGATTTTCAAAGGCCGTGCATATGAACTATCGTGCATATAGATTTTGTTTGAATAAACGACAAGCAAATTTACTCTAGTATCTTGAAGTAATTTTTTCAAAACAAGAAAAAAATTATTACATACCTGAAATGTGCAAAAATTCAAAGACCACTGCATTCAGAATACATCAAAAAACCGTTAAACGCAACCGTTGAATTCACTGTCGGCAGACCTTTCTATGCGTTGCAGAGACCTACGTCATCTTTCTTTTGTTTCACGTATTCCTCTGATGTTCCTTTACAAATAACGCGTGGGGTTCATAGCAGAAATGAAAGGGACCAAAATCATAGCGGCGCAAAAGCGTTGCGAATACTGATTTTTCTTGGAATTATCAGTGACGTCATAATATAGTCAGAAACGGATATCTCCCGGACTGATGGTAAACTGATTTGAAATTTCGGTGGTAGCAAAAGTGGAATTTCCGATAAAAAGTTGTTCCATTTGGTTGATTTTATTACCGTGGACCTGGAACTGGTACAAACTACGAGAAACGTAAATGGAACAAAAGTTGATTGAAAACGGGCTTTTTAGATTTTCCACTTTTTCTGGGAAGTGGGACGAACCGACGAAACGTGTTCCATTTACCGCCGAAAAATCCGGGACTAAATGACGAAAGGGCCTACCCCAAAAATATTCGCTGTAGGAAAATCCGGGTTATGACGAAATAATATTCGCTGTAGGAAAGTGGAAGTTAATAGCTAACCAAAATCAGTAGTTAGCAGAGAATTGGCAAACAAAAATTGTAGTTAATTGATATTTGGCCGAAAAATTAGCAGTTAACTGAGAATTGGGTACCCCCATTAGCACCCTCATAATTGTTTAAATAATGAAAATATGATAAATATGGAAGTCTGAATATTGAATATTGAGGTTTAAATATTAAATATTGACAGTTTGGAACAAAATATTCCGCTTCCACCCCCGATAAAAAAAAAACAGTTTTCTTTTTACCAACCACGCACGTGAAAACCTATCACGTTAAAAATGATTGATCAACGGTTCTATTCTTTTTGAGGTTTGACTAACATTTGTTGAGCCCCAGGGCTGGGAGACGGAACGTTTGAATATTGCCGGCATGGTCATTGAAGTGGGCAAACATTTGCGGTATACCGCTAACTTAGCACTCTGCTTTCATAAGGAGAGGCCTCTTTTTAGAACTGTATCCCATATAACGAAAAACACTACTATTGGACGATTTCAAAGAATGATGCCTTATGTTGTCTTTAATTTATCATATCCTATTTGGTGACTATAGCTCATTTGTAAAAATGCATTACGTAATACTGTCTCGAAATGACCATAAAGTTCAGGTTGATCACGCTTATCATCAATCATTTACATTTTGATCACTATCGTTGATATTCAATGTTCAGCCAACAGAGACAAGAACTTTATCTAAACTATCAATTTTAGCCGTGTACCGGTTTAGTAGATGTAGGATTGCTTACCTATCAGGTATTGTTGTCAGATTGGGAGATTGATATGAAGTTTTTAATGGTTGCATTTATGCTTTCCCTCCTGTGGGTTGCCGATGCAGGTAAGTTTACACTGAACTGATCAAAAAAATCACTGAGCTTAATAATCTGTTATCACTGGGTTATTTTAGGTTGAAATTGGCAGAGACCACATATAACGCGGTTTTGTTAAACAACGGATGAACTCCGTTTCAACAACCGCCTAAACTTTGTGTTTTACGTACCCATCCACGCAACATCACAGTGTTTGAAGGCTGCAGATTTTGTAGTCTAATTTTCAGGATTTTAACTAGCAAGTTTAGAAAGCTGTTAGGCCACTTCCTCAGGTATCTGTATTTTTTGATTTTTTTTCGCGGATTGGCTTTCCCTCCACACGTATTGGATGAACACCGTCACTGAACACTTAACTTTTCAAAACGCTTTCAAGAGGGAAATGTTGTGAAGACGCCACTTTCCTGTATTGGACTGGAGAGATGAAAGATGAATGTTTCTCTGCCACTTCGCCTTTTTTACGGCTTGTATCATCCCAAGTTAGTTTTCCTTTTACGTAAAATGTTCAAGCTTGTTGAAAGTAATTCAGAATGCGACGCAGGGCTGGAATGTCGAAGCGTTAAACGACCCAGCAGAGTTCCACTTACAAGACCTCGAGGTTCTTAGTTTGACCAGTACGTAAAAGTGCTTGGGTAGACAGCTTTGTCGACCAAACATTGATATTACAGAAACAGAGAGAGAATTATAGAATAATTCAGGCCCAATCCGTGTGCATAAAAAAAAATTCTCGTTTTCAAACAAAAAACGAATACGTGTGGACGGGTGTAAACGATCCGAAAACGGCAGTGTGGACCCGAATTTTTTGGAAAAATATAAAAAGATATTTCCTTTTTCAGACAAAAAAAGAATACGTGTGGACAGGGCCTTAGTAATTGTCACTGTCAGTAAGGACAGGGCAGGGGCCACGGATGATGGTCGGCCAATCTCCTTCAAACTTTTACCGTTTGTTCCCTATCGGATAAGATTGTGATCGGTGATATTATTGGAAATATAAAATAAATCGCATCCAATTTTGACCACCCCCTAAGTTTTTGCGTTATTTAAAAGGCTGAGAGAGGAAAAATTGTTGAAACTAAAATGCTACTTTTTCTTGCTTTGCATTGTTCTACTGAAATTGTATGATGTTCACGTATTTGTGTGTATTTCAACAACTTATTTCTACAATAACATGGTATTTACACAAAAACGGCTTGCCCTGGCACCTTCCTAAACACTGCCACTTCAGTATTGGGTCAAGAGGATTAACACGATTTTAGTCAATTTTAAAGCCTAATTTTTCCAAGGTGCGGAACTTTACTGATAAACTGGGGCTATTTTTTATCAGTCCTTCTATAGCTTTCAGGAAATTTGAAAACTCTCATTTGGCAAGTTAAAATCGTTTAGAGAGAGCTTTCTCGGAAGTTTGGCCCTATTAGCATAATAGTCTAAATTTCTCAGAAAAATGTCACGCTTTTATAGTGACGAGATCAGGAAAATTGAAAACTCTCATTTGGTACGTTAAAATCGTTTAGAGAGAGCTTTCTCAGAAGTTTGGCCTTATTACCGTAATCGTGAAAAAATTTCCTAGAAAAATGTCACGCTTTTATGGTCACGAGATCAGGCGATAACGTACGAACCATTTCACAACTACGCATGAGGAATTTTTCGGCAGTTTCTGTCGTATGTTCTTGCACAGGGCAAGTGTTTTGCATGTATATCCTAGTTACATATTGTTATAAACCATTGAGTTCAATAAATTGACAATTGTACGACGTGACTTTATTAAAAATTTAGAAATATACATTTTGTCGGGGTTTGTGGTTATGTAACGATATCAGTAATCTATTGTGAAGATATGCGGTTTATTACCAAAAATTGAATTACTTTTTGGAAGGTTTTTTTTAATGCTAACAAAGAAAAGGAAAAAAAAAACAAGAAGAATTTTGCCTGTCACTTAAAAATTATCTTTAGTATTAGAGGGAAAGTACGAAGTGGAATGCTTTGTACACATCTTTGACAACTGTATCCAAACAACTTTGCAGTTCTTTCAATAATAGAGCATTTGCTAAACAAAGTCAAAAAAGAATATCCCGAAGTGATACATGCATACGTCAGATCCGATAAATGCCGGATGCTATCATAATGGTCCTCTTTTGCTGAGCCGTAAAGAAGTAGTCGAGAGAACCGGTGTTAAACCAGTGCGATACGATTTTTCCGAGCCTCAGGCTGGCAAGGACATTGGTGACAGGAAGGCTGCTTCGATGAAGGGGCATATAAAACGGTGGGTTAACGAGAAGCATGACGTCATCAGAGCCGAGGATATGAAAGCAGCATTGGAATCACATGGTGGCATCAAAGGATGCAGGGTGGCAGTTGCTGAGGAGGACACCACACGTGAAAAAAAAAAAACAAAACAAACAAAGATAATAAGATGCCAGGCAGCAGTATACTGAACAAGTTGTCATTAAGAGGAGAGTGGCATCCCCATGTGGAAAGCTTATAACATCCGGCTTGGACGTTTTATCCCTTTTGATGATCTCGCAGTTGCACAAGGAAAAATAGGATTAAAAGTGATCCAGTCATTTGGTCTAACTCCACAAAGAGAAAGAGTGGAGGAAAGCGTCAGACACAAGTCTGAAATCTACTCTTGTCAGCAAACTGGATGCGTTCTAACGTTTAAGACCCAATCAGAGGCAGATCATCACATGGACACTGGCAAGCATCGACTTGAGGTGGACTATGAGTCTACGTACTACCGTATTCGAAGAAAGTGGGCTGAAGCTGTGACAGGAGTGATGTTTGCCCAAGATAATTCCGTCATCGTCATCGCAAGGGAGCAGTGCAATGGGACAAGACTTAGCAGATCTTAGACATTCTGGATGGGCTCTCAAGACAGTGAAACGTACATCTAGGATGTCTGAGAAAGTCAAGGCATTCCTAGAATAGAAGTTCAAAGAGGGGGGCAAGAACTGGAAAAAAGGCTGATCCTTGCATTTCCCTTGCAGGTCGCAAGGGAAATGAAAATCCTCACAAATGATGATGGGCGTCCAACCTTCCTGCCTGAAGAATAGAGAACTGCTCAGCAGATAAGCAGTCTGTTCTCCCGTCTTACATCCACGCAGCGTCAGAGATTTGCAGATGCTGAGGAAATATCAGAAGAAGACATAGAAGCTGTTAAGGCTGAAATGGCATTGAAAGATCTGAGAAGTTTGGCGATAGATGACGTGGAAAAACAAGTCATCCAATTATCGTACGTGGGCATAACATCTGTGAACTTCTAAAATCGAACAAGTTTGCGTCACTTTTATTTCTTTCAGCGCAACCAACTTAAAAGTTGGTTGCGCTGAACCCAGAACCCAGCATCTATCGCGCTGCTTTCGCGATAGGAGTTTACCTGCAAACGCGACTGTTCGCGGTACCTGTCTGGCTCGTGCAGGAAAGCTTTCTTTGGGAAGAGTTTTCATTGCAAATGGTGCCCACAAAACTGAAGAAATCCCATAATTTAGCATTTTATTTTTTTCAAAACAAAACGAAACGAAAAATGCACCAAAAGAAGGACTGGACTGATAAGGTAATTTCGTAAACACCAGAGTACTTCTAGGCTTGTTCATGCAACTCTGCAAATTTGCTCTGCCAGTTTTGTTCGATCCTCTTCTGTCACCGAAAAGAAATATTTAACAACAAACTTACAAATGGTAAAGGACGAAACATTTTCTCCTGCACATGCCTGACAAGTATGCTGAGCAGGCGTAAACAGCCAGGTACACGATTTAAAGACATTTACATCAAATTCACTGCGAGAACTGAGTTGGTAGAAATTTCATAACTATCTTGAATCTGAATTAACTGCTCATTGCACATGCAGGAATGCAGAGATGAATCTGACATCTACAACTACAAACAGATTCAACTTTTGAATAATAAATTCACTAATGGAATCTTAGGGGGTACGCTTGACCTGGCTTGACTGTTAGCCGCTTATGTTTTTGACTGATGAATTCTGGTTCTATACTGGAGCTTTGTTGAGTTTAATTTTGCGCACGAATGTACACACCTAATCACATGTACTCGTCCGCTCTGATACGAGACAGTATGAGGTCATTGGTTTTCATCTTTTTAGTGCAAAACACTCACTTCCTCTCTTGAGCTCACGTCTATGATCCTCACCCAGGGTAAGATCCTTTGAAGAGCATATCACCGCGAATTTGTTGTTGTTGTTTTTTTTTTAAAAAAGAATAAAAATAGAAAACTTGTAATAAACGATGCTGCGACGATTTTAGATTGATATCATTTTTCTACAGATTTTTAAATACTTTTGCTTAATATTTTAAGTTGGACATTTTTGGCCTGGGGCGAGTGACGCTTTTTGAGGCATAGACCCTCGGTCACTTCTCGTGAGGCATTGCGCCTTGTTTATTCTTATTTCACTGGACGAGCTCATTTCATCACGAGAAAGAAATGGACGCCGTCTTTAAATTTTCGGTAGTCAGTGATCTTTTTCAGTTTCAAAAAGCGGCCCTCTTGAAATATTCAAGGATTTTAAAAACATTTTCGAGGAACCTCCTCACGGAGTGGCAGGGAGGGACTAAGTACTTTGCAAGGAAGGGTTCGGGGAATCCAAGACATGCGGCTTGCGTTTTTCTTGGCGAAACGTTAACCAGTTCACCTAGAGACAGATCTTGAATTTCGTTCGTTTAACCTACCACACAAAACTTATAGATATAAAATATAGTTGTCTCAAAGGATTTTCTTTTAGCTTCGTCACCTTTTTGGTCACCCTCCAGGACCAAAAGTTCATGAGTAAAAACTTATGTGTCGTGTACTTTTAAGTTTTAAACTTTTTGTGTTCATTCAATGCTGCGGCTATCGAGAGTCTTTTGTTGTTCAAAGTTTGTTTGATTGTCTGTTTATTTATGTGTGGTTGAGTAAGGCGTCGCATAAACTGCCGGATTCATACGTTGTTAGGGCGAGCCAGGCGGGGTTGATCATTTATTGTTTTTCTGCCTAGTTTACTTTCTTTATAATGTCGGTCGTAATTATTTCCTATGACTTAAGATGCATGTTTTCAAGATTTGACTGAGACGCGCGATGTATCGCCTCCTGTATCAGGTTAAAAATACACATGCTTAAGCTTAGAAACATTTTTTCTGGTTGCCGATGAAAAGAACAAGTTCTAAAGAATACTCGGTAGCCGTCTCAGTTATAAAAAGAAAGCTGTAAGCGAAAGTCTTCCTTCGACGTGCGTTCATGTCGTATCCACCATTCAACAGGAAGCTTAAATAGGAGACTGGTCATAAAGTACAGGAGGGGGTGGGCCGCAAAAAAAGTGGGTGTGGGCCATCAGTTTTGTGCACATGAAAAGGGGCTGGTCAAGAAAGGCCATGCAACACATTGGGGGTGGGTTGTCAATAATTATGCCTCAAATTTATCAATGGCAGGTATGTATACATACAAAATTTAACGCTTAAATTGACAGTAATGTAACTTTATAAATGACTAGGAATAAAACTGCTCTCTATCATTACACCTCCTGCCTTAAATGGTAACTTGCTGTTTTGACAAGATTATAACAATAAGGAATATTCATGTGAAACAAATATTTAAAAAAAGGAGCAAAATGAAAGCAAAGATTATAAAACATTGCATGTAATAACGTTCAGTCTTCCTCAATGAAATCATCATCAGTATCTATGTCACTGTCTATCGCCAAATTTCAAGTTTTGATATGGTATCTTTATTTAGGAGATGAGGTTCAACTATTTTATCTCCATATGAACATGGGCTTGCAACAGCTAGTGAAAAAACCCTTCGACAGTTTTTCTTTTCACGCTCAATTAGGCGCTTTTTTTATTTGATTCTATTTTCTTTTTGCTTTCTCTTTTTCGATGCAGATCCTCCTTTGGCTGTGGGGTACATCCTCTTTTTTTATCTTCAAGGGTTTGCATATTTGTTGAAAAGCTTTCCAGTATTTTCGTTTTAAGGGTTGTAAGAACCCCAAAACATGAAGACCGCTTTTTTTTTTTTTCCAATTCACGAAAATTATACCTCATTTTAAAGCTGAAGAATTCCTTAACATTTTATCTGATTTGGGTTGATATGCACTTTAAGTTACCGATGTTATTAATTTAATTCTCGTTTTGGTTTAATCTATTTTTCACAGATGTCAACCAAACCACCTGCATCGAGTGCTCTGAAGTTGAAGCCCTCAACTTATCCTGCAAAGATTCCATTCTTCAGGTGCCGTGTTCATCCCAGTGCTTTACAGCCAAGGGAAACATAACGTATTTCTACAAACGTGATGAAGTTATTACAACAGCAATAGAGGAACGAGGATGTGCTAATTGTACGGGTAAGTACATATAAGTCTCAACAGCGTTCTGTGAGGTACTTCTTCCCAACACGGACACCTTGAGTTGGTCCGTACCTTTTCCTTTCACTCTCAGGCAGACATCTCGCTAAGACGGACACTAAATGACGGTCCCCAAAGGTGTTCGTCTTATTGAGAAATGACTATATGCTATATGGGTGAAGAAAGAAAGAACGAGACAGTCATAATCATGGCCAGTAAAATAATGGGAGACGATAACTTAGGGAAGGTCACTGTGGCGAGTTTAATTATAAACCATCCCATTACACCATTTGAGAGGCAAGGAGGCTGACCGACGTAAGGACAATAGTGGCACGTATTTCTACTGATGGTTCATCGATACATGTTGAAGAATAAGAGTAATTGTAGCTCCTTGATAATACTTCTTCCGACCGCCCTAAGTTTCAACACGGAAAAATAATCGGGACACTGCGGCTCACACAAACCATACCGTAAACTTTTGCTTATAAGCCCCCCCCCCCCCTCCCGAGCCCCAGTCACAAGCCCCCTAGTTATAAGCCCATTTACTTGTAAACAAAAAAAATTACCTCCAGTTATAATCCCTTACGACGCCCCTCCTTTATTATCGATCCAGACTAGCTTTTTAATTCCCTTAAATGGTGACTTATCCATCACTATTGATCAATTGATAGAAGTCGTACAATTGGAAATTTACAGCCTTTGGGTTCCTTTTTGTTAACTGGTGACCGGTGTAGTCGTGAAAGAATTTGCTATTTTTAAAGCATAGTCTCTTTGAGGGAAAATGAACTGATTCCGCGCATGTTGCTCTGGCACATTACGTGTAAAGCGCGAGATCCACGCGGTTTCATCGAATAGCCAAATGTGCTATTTTTAGAACAAACTGCGCCAACATCAACGTAACAAACTCGCGCGGGAACGCGCAATTTTGGGCGGCTCTCGTGTGGAATTTCAGGAGATAGCCGATCGTTTCGCGACTTTATTTGAGTACCAAGTGCTTCATTTCTCGATAAGAAAGTTTTGCACAGTGGAACATTGAGCCAATGTTATATAAAGATTACTAGAAATACTTTTATCGCAAAAACCTCGCGGAAAGTCGGCTCCTAGACCACTGCGCCACATTGCCAAGGGCCAATTTTGTTCCTTCTCTTTATAAACGACCTGCCCTCGTCTGTATAATCAAGTGTCAAGCTATTCGCGGATGACAGTGTGCTCTATCGCCATATTGAGTCTTCAGTTGACCACGATAAGCTCCAGCAGGGCCTACTCCAGCTTGAGGAATCGGCGGCTATGTGGCAAATGAACTTCGCTCCTAGTAAATGTTATATCATGTCCATCGCCCTTAAGCGTCAGCCATCGTCATTCTTGTACACGCTGTGTAACACTCCCCTAGAGGGAGTAACGTTCCAGAAATACTTAGGGGTCTACATCACCAACTCCCTCAATTGGACAAAGCAGACTGTGGAGGTGAAAAAGAAAGCGAATAAGATCCTAGGCGTACTCCCAAAGAACTTATCGTCTTGTAGCGCTGTTGTCAAGGAACGGGCCTATTTGTCCTTGGTCCGCCCTGTATGCGAATATCGTTCCGTCGCCTGGAGTCCATATACACAAAAAGACATTATCTGTGTTGAATCCGTTCAGCGTCGTGCGGCGCGCTTTTTTCGTAACGATTACTGTCGTTCCAGTAGCGTTAATACAATGTTATCGAACTTGGGTTGGCAAGATCTTGAGACACGTAGGAAGATCACCGATTTGACAACGTTTTTTAAGATAAAGACAGGAAATGTGCGGATATCTTTCCCAAACGACCTACGCGAGGTGCACTCTCCCTACTTGAGGCAGTGCACAGCACTCATTCCAGTTCCAGCATTATTCATGTACCATTAACGCGCACAAGTATTTTTTTTTTTCGTAAGCACTGTTCCCGCTTGGAACGCTTTGTCACCTGTTTCCGTATGTGCTGATTCCGTTGTTGTGTTCCATTCAAGTATTTGTAATAATTTTATGTGTTGACGATTTTTATTTCATTTTTTTATTTATTTTTTTTTTTTCACATGACTTGTAATTTCATTTGTATTTATTTAGTTGTTTGTTTTTATTTTGCTTATTTATCTCGCAGTCAATGTCATGAGCTTCCGTGTACTGACCGTCCATTGCCAGATTAGCTTGCTAGAGGCAATTATATCAATTAAAGATTAAAGTTGTGTTGCATCGCATACAAAAAATAAACTTCGCTCGTTAAATTTTGAGGGTTCTGTGAGTTTCAGAAAATTGTCAAAATTTGCTTATAAAAATGGTGTCCGAGGGGACCGAATAAAGTGATGCTCCTATCTCCAATACAAGAGTAGTAAGGAACCTATGTTTGGTATATTTGTCCATTACTTCACCTGACCTATGCATGATGTTAGTATCAACTTTATATTCTGTTGACCCCCTTCCGCTGACATTTTTAACATTTTTCCCGCTTTTCTCTGACAACCACTCTCACGGATCTTCCTCCCTCCATGCAAACAGCCCTTAGTAGCAACTCGCTTACGCACATCTTTCAATTTACTTCATGCTTTTTCTTTACTTTAGACAAAGAAGCAATCTGTGCAGCGTTCAATTCCTCCTTGGGCAACATGACCTTGCTAGACTGTGATGTTGAGTGTTGTTCTGGCAATAACTGTAACAAGCAGAACTTAACTGCGGTCATTCCAGCAACACCTACGACCATTCCAACACAGTTCCCCACGGCACGTGAGTATTAACGGTCATTGTACTGAGTAGATTTATACGGCTCCTCTATCGATAACAGTCCTTCCAACACCTGATTTACATGTATACGCCTCTCCAACGCAAAAGTATATGATTACTCTGACACCTGATCTCGGACCCTCCATCACACAAGTATGACGTCCTTCCAAAGTACCAACCCTATCTCCAGATTTTTCCACTTGGAAAATAGGTCCCATTTTCTAAGGTAAAGACCTCGGGATGGTGTTGCCAAAATACACCAATACGGATGTAGGGGTTAGTCACGGTGCTATCTCGGTAGGGTGGGAAAACACAAAATAGTGCTTTCATCAGCGGAGTTGAAAAAGTTAATTTTCCACAGATTATCTTAGAAGCTAGTATTGTGAACGCTAATTTTTTTTATTACGTTTTCGTTTTGGAGGGGACCGGTCATTGACCTCCTAAAAATTTTGGCAAAGAACTTCAACATCAAACAGTTAGAGGTCTGCAGCAGACAATAATGATGCAGCAAGTTCTAATTGCCTTGAGATTCTACGCAACAGAAACTTTCGAGCGGGCTATTGGCGATTTATTTGGTGTTTCTGTATGTTATTCACAAGGATCAATGTGAAACTACTAAAAGAACATTTCCTGTGATTCCTTGATTATTTGGCGGGCCACTAAAGGAAAGTTATATGATGTTACGCAGTCACTTACCGAGTGATTGGGGCCATCGATGTGTTCACATAAGGATCTTATGTCCAAACAAAGAAATTTTATCATTTATTTGATCCGAACTCAAAATTCAAAAATCCTTAACATATACTAATTTTTGTTGAGGTTGTTGTTCTTTTATTTACAGCTGTCAACCAAACGACGTGTATCGCTTGCTCTGAAATTGGGCCAAGTAACTTAACCTGTAACCAAAGCTTTTTTCTGGTGCCTTGTTCTTATCACTGTGCTGTACTTAGGGGAAAGATAGAGTTCTACACTAATGATGAAGTTACTATAGTTCCTATAGGGACACGAGGATGCATCAACTGCACAGGTAAAGATCTAGTTTTCATATGATCGCTACGACCGTGAAAAAAGTTCGGCGAGCAGACCGATCATAGTAAACATAATACATAGATTTTAGCCAGGGCTAAAGTGGAGCTACTGTTAATAAATTTACAATTTAAATCAAACAATAAACTTGTATTCCACAAATCAGTTAACTTTAAGGCAGATTCATATAACTTTTGAGGGAGGGGCTAAGTGATTTTAGGGAAAAAAATAATTTGCAAACATTCCACGAATGAAAGAATTCTTACATCGAGTTAATAGTCTTATATGTACACCCAAAAATAACAATCATTCACCTTTGATCACAGTAGATTAGGCTTGGACCGGGGGGAAGGGTGTTTCCAACGAAGTCGGTGGCTCAGTCCTTCTTCCAGTATGACGTCACGTCTCGCGTTAGTGACTTTCAAAATGGCGATCAAGCTGTCCATCGAAGAGACGGATAACAATTTCGAATTTCGCACGGATGTACTGTTTCGATATCTTGGATTTTGCGTTATTAAGATCCCTGCTGTCATAGAAAATCACTCTTCTCTGGTACTTTTTTTGGCGTGAAACGTCCAGTGGTGTGATGAATTTTAAAGGTTTTTTTATGGTCCAGCAAATTTTCCGAGCATTCATATCGACCGGTCACACGTTTAAGGCCCGGTGCACAGCAACATTGAGGAATTTAATTAGACACAGCAATAGGGGGTTCATCAAAGCAAATAGTAAGCTTTAAGTTTGCGTACTTCAGTTCTTCAGAGCCAATGGATCCCCATATGAATCCCTTCAAATTACGCTTTGCGCACCATACACATTTTTTACAACTAACTACAACACTCTTTTTTGTAAAGAACTACCAAACAAAGCTAAACAAAAATGCCTGCAAGCGCCACACGATGACAACAGCGAAACAACCACAGCAACAATTTACCTCGAAGGGTTAAGCAGCAACAATTATGAGCGATTAAAGACAAACAACACAATCAATTGTTCAAAAGGCCGATTAAATAGGGTAAAGGCCCTATAAGTAAACCACACAAGAAACCAAGTTACTAGGAATACGTTATCGCAAAAACCTCGCAAAGCCGTAAAGGGTCAGTGGTAAGAAAAAAATAGAATTAAGAAACAAAAATTAAACAGAAAAAGAAACAGAAAACAGCGTCGCCAGGAGTCGAATCTGGTTTATTTTCACGAGCAAGCAATTCCTTGACCACTGCACCACAATGTCACTCATTTTTTGGAGATTTCATTACCATTTTTCCCTGTCGTAGACGCTGTTCGAAGCTGGGGGAGCTCTATTTATCTTGAATTCAAGATACATTTGAGGAAACTTAGCTTGTAAGCGCGTATTTCGAAGCTTTTTCGCATTATTTCGGGTTTAGGGGGCCTATCGATGTAGATAGTCGATGAAACTACAATAGATGTACTAAATTTGAGGGAGAGTTAAGAAATCAACAGAGGCCCACACTCGAAGCGACTGATATTAAGTACGGTCGATTTAATCAGCGAAAGAATATATGGAATATAAACGAGTGTGATTCCTGAGTCGAACCTCACTAGACGTTGCCCGGCTATTTTAGAGAAAAAAAAAAAATGACTTAATTTTTGACGACCTGTGATAGTTATCCCGAAACACGGCCCGCGACACAAATTAACAAAATTACACAATTACTAACACAAAATACCACGACGGCTTACACAAGCAGATAAAAGTAACAACAAATTTCACACACTGATGATCAAATTAGCGATATATAGCAGTATTTACTAGCTTTTTTCCTTTTCCCCGACCTCTCTTGTTTTGTATGACTGTGGTGTGGTGTTCCTTGTTAATTGCACAGGCGACCCAAGACTCTCTCCCGTTACTGTGTGACGTCACACTGGCAAGCGGATTGAGTCAAGAAACGTAGTTGGAGAACAATAGAGTCACCTTCCTCCATGCGCTTCTCTTGCACAACACTAAAAATTATATAATTGACAACATTATAAAACGTTTTCATAAAGAGAATTCCACTATGCCCAGACTGTTCAGTCAAATCATTCTGCTCCTATGTAGTATGCAGGGTAATAATGGGCTTTAGCGAAAACTTTCGAAAAGAAGCCTATTTTAATTTAATTTCCAAAATCACCCCTACAGCCAGCTACATCTGTAGTTCTGACTTTTGACAAACGCCAAATTTGCAGTGCAAGCTGTTACGTGTGTGAATGAACAGTAATGGAGTTACGCTTTATTATGTTTATCTTTTAATGCTTTTATTTTGTGTAATCTTTAACAGCATTTGATACACCCGGCGTTTTGAGTACTCTCGCAAGCGATGTTCATGTACGACTTAAAACAACTGCCCAGCGATTAAAATTGCGAAAGAGATCTTGACTAACAATCAGACAAGAAATATAATTCGGTGAAACATTTACAAAGACAACAATTGTGCGCAAAAACAAGCATTGGGGGTGAAGTTTTTCTGAAAATCCTGAGTCATGTAAAAACCTGACAGATGGGAAAAAACTTGGTCCGTAATTTGCAGACAAACCTCCTCGGCTGAGAAGAGGTGTGTATGGTTGGTCAAAGTTGGAAGTGTGCGTGGAAAGTTAATGCTGGCTCAGACTGTGTTATTCTATATGAATTGATTTCACATAAATATATCTTTCAACTTACTTTATGCCGTTTCTTTACTTCAGACAAAGAAGCATTCTGTCAAGCCTTAAATTCGTCCTTAGCATCTGCAAACGCCAGCTTGCTGGCTTGCGAAATAGAGTGTTGTTTTGGTAACAACTGCAACAATCTAAATTTTCCTGGTAGGTATATGACGTGAGCGCATCGTCCAACTTATAAGGGAGGATAGAGGAAAAGATAGTTTAATTTTCATTTCCTTCTCCCTTTTCCTTCCGCCTCCCTTACTTTTTGAGTAATTTGTCCCCCCTCCCATATTTTCCGAGTTTCTCCCTTGTTTTAACGAGTAATAGTTCTTGATGGCTCCTTTTCCTTCTACTTATTATGTTTTATAATTTATTCGCTCTGTTTGTTGAGTGGGCGTAAAAATGGTCGAAAGGTATCAAATGATCAGCGAAGACGATACAATCAAATTACTGGCCCAAACTAAAAGATCTGGCAAGAAAACACGTACAAAGAAGGATAGACGCCCACCGCTCCTTGAAGAATGGCTACGTTGAAAACTCATTCGTTTACATCATGAAACTGCGCAGAAACTAGCAAATGTTTCGAAGATATTCTCAGTGGTAGAGCGTTGAGAGGTGGCTGTTTTCGTAGGCTCTTCACTAAGCGATACTGATCGAAACTTTTCAATGGTAAATTAATCATGAAAAAAAAGTTCAATGAAAAGTGTACTACGAAAACAATTTTCATTCAAGAGGGCAAATAATGTGATCGAAATGTTTCTCAAAATCTCTTTAAAACTTTTTTTGTCTGTGTGTAATTCTCTCTTAGCCGGCTTCGAGTTTGGAATGGCCAATACTGGATGAACGTACCTAGAAGCAAGAACTTGGCGTAAAGCTTTGTTTTTACAACCAGTACTATGAAAAATGAATATTCTTTAAAACTCGTTCTTTCCAATTGCGTCCAGAAAAAGGTGTATAAGCTTGTTTATTTTTAACCTGATAACGCGAGGCCATGCATGGTCTCATATCTTACCCGTTGCTTTCAATGACATAAGACTTGACGTAATTATGCCCGACTTAAAAAACAAAAGTCAAACCAGACAAAAAAGTGTAATAATTACTGATCAAAAGCTCGCCTGAAATGCAGCTCCTGAAAGCCATTAAGTGAGAACAACGCTTAAGCTTTTTCTTGTATTCTGCGTGAATGGCAGGTTTAAGTATAACCAATAAGCCCACTTTTAAATCGATCGTCCCTTACGGAGTCTCTCCTCCTTCTCTCCCAGAGTTAGGTTTCTGATGTTTTTTGTTTTTCAGCTATGGGGCTTTGCGCGCGGAAGCTTTACTATAACTTTCCACAAATGACCCTAGCTAGTCGAGGTGGGTGGGTAGAACAGTGCTTAGGACGATACAACAAGTAACTTCAAACTTCGGCTTTGATAAAGTTTTCATCGCCTTTACCGATCACTATCCAGCGGAAAGCGTAAGCCAGGCCACTGCAGAAGATTTTGGAGAGGAGAGCGGCCTATTGCAAAATAAGACCATGGGGAAGCTTTGCTAAAAATTTGACGACAAATCCGTTTTTCAAAGATTGCCAGGGGGGTTTAACGCCAAAAACGGTTTAAAAAGGCAAAACTTTCAACGGTCAAGACGTCCTTCTTTGGGGTCCGTTTGAACATTCTTTTGTAAACTTCCAAGTCCTACTGTAAGATCAAAATATAAAGAAATTTTCTCCCAGGACGCCGACATTATTTTAACAATCAGATAAGGCTGAGCACCCTCCGAGATCTGAATAAAAGAAATGTTTGGAAATCGAGGAGTGTGATTATATTCGTGGTTTCCCTTTTAGCCACTTGTTGACTTCCAATCAAGCCTCTCTAAGAGCGCTTTTCAGTTGAGCGTCAAAGAAAGTGATCATTATTTTGGCGTCATAATTCTACTTTTAGATACTAACTCAAATTTTATCAACTAATCAGACACGTAGTCTTGTTTGCATTGGCGCCGAGTGCATGAACTGACTTTCTGTGCATAATGCGGTTGACAAGAGGAATCATGTCAAATTTGGTCCTTCGAAGCTCTTTTGAAAACTACTGATGTTGAAGAAAATTCGAAAAAGACATTTTCATTCTGGCAATCTTAAACGTTATTTTCTTTTTCTTTTTTTTAGGTTTAGAAAAAAACGAAATCGTCCCCATTCCTGTGATTCCTCTTCCAAGTGTGCCGTCAACAGAACAAAAGGAAGAGTCCGTGCAGATCTCAATTTCAGTTACTACAAACCAAGTAAGAGCCCGAAAAATTAAGACGATACGCTTTCGCATATCCGGTCCGGCCGAAGTCGGAATTAACAAGGGCATAGCAGGATCGATGATTAGGAGCAATTTTCTACTAGATTTTGCCTGTTTGCCCCTGAGAATTTACGTTGGGGGAAAGATTGCGGGAAAAAAAAAATAACAAAACCAAACAAACACTTTAAGACGGAGTCCATCAAGAAATTGGGTAAAAAAATTAATTTTCAGTGGACAAAAGCCTTGTGCCAGAATAATTTAAACAATATCGCATTCTTTTTTACATTTTTCAATGGCTATAGATGTAATTAATTTTCTGTAATAACACCAAAGGAAACTTCTCATGAGAGCCCGAGAAAACGAATGTCAAATTTCACAAAATGACATCTTGCGTATGAAATTTTCAGAATTTTAGCTGTTTTTTCACAATTCTTGTAAAATTTGACTTTTTTTTTCTCGGGCTCCCATGAGAAATGGTCTTTGGTCTTATTACAGCTAATAAATTATATCCATAGCTCTTGAAAAATGTAAAAAATAATGCGGTATTGTTTAAATTATTCTGGTACAAGGTTTTTGTCCACTAAAAGTTGAAATTACTCAATTTCCTGATGGATTCCGTCTTAAATTCTGGGGCTTTTCATTTCTCCTAGTGCCCAGCTTAATTTTTTTGACCTTTTTTATTATTATTTTTTTTCGTTGCCTTGATTTCGTACCAAGCGATCATCGATCGCGAGAGAAGGGAAGCTGCGAACTTTTAGTTCCTACTTTGACACTCCGGAAAGACGCTCGCAGCCTGCGATTTTTCCCTCCCAATATCTATATTTAGTATATACTAAAACAGTGGATAGTGTTTTTCGCGCGCTCTGATTGGCTACTCAATCAGTGAATTCACAACTCCTTTTGAAGAAATTTCTCTGCAAGAGCTAAACAAATGCCTTCAAAAGTTTTATTTGTCGGCAAAAAAAGCGATGGCTGCGGCCGTTCGGTCATTGCTCGCCAAAATTGTAATCGTTGGCAATAATTAAGCAATCGCGCGTGCTTAATTATCTCTGGTCACTGTTTCAGTATATACTAAAACAAAATAGTATTCTCGGAAGTGGAGGTGGCAAGTGGTGGATATTTACCTCGCCGCTTTGTGTCTCGGTAAATAGTCACCTCCACTTCGGTGAATAATTGTCAGGTATATATCCCCAAATAATAAAAAAATGACTAAATAACAATTTTGAAAACTGCAAGATCGTAGCTAAAGATAAACAAAAAAGGGATGCACCATCTGATTGATATTTTGGAACCGCGGATTGAAATCATTCTGGCTTGCATAGCAATGAGGATTTTCAGGAGTTGAATTTGAGTGAGGGAGTTATTAACTATATTCAACATAAGCTGAACACGAGAAAGGGGGCAACTTTCTTTTCTTTGGTTTCATTTTCTAACTCAGTTTGATATTTTCTTTGACAGTATGAATGGAATTTCCAAACCGACAAGACTTTTAAGGAAAAAACTTCTTCTGTTACAACAAGCTTTTGTTCTCAGAGCAGAGTAAAATGTGCATTAAAGGAAGCAAGGCGTAAAAGGTGATTATCATAAGTGCCCGAGAAGTTTTCATTCCAAAGTTTTCATTCTCTCTTTACATTTATGATTTGAATAAAAATGTACTTGTTGAAAGTTCTTAACGCCCCTCTTTGAGATTCCCCTGAAACACCATAGTGCAGGTTTGTCGGTAAATGGGCTCAGTTTCATAGTTCACATCAATTTGCTAGGATGAAATCCTGACTGGGAAAATACAATAGAATTTCGAGACAATTCAAACTGGAACTGTCTTCCCTTCCCATGAAACAAGCTAATTCGTTCCTCGATTTCTCGAACCCCCCGAAAATTCTATCCTTTTCCCCAAGAGGTTCGGAAATTTGTACGGGGTATCCACTATAGGGAACTTTATATTAGGCAACTAGCACTAGATTACGTGCAAGGCGTTAATTTTCAATCTATTTCCCTGACCGATAACTTGTAACACCACCGGTCTTATCCCTTCATAGTCTCTGATTTGCTCTGACTAAGGGCTAGCGTTCAAAAAGTCAACTTTTGTATCTCTTCGTGCTAGTGAAGTTACCTTATCAACTGACCAGGTTGTTAAAACTAAACAAGCAGTACAATTAGGGGATAATTTTTTTTTTGGTTTTTGTTTTATTATTATTATTATTATTTAACTTACTTCTTTTTTTTTTTGATACGGCGAGAGTACCATAGATATAATTGGCACAAAAATTCGAAAACTGTATTCGTACGCGATCTTGTACTCGTAGTTAACCTTACAGGATCTTTAGTGGGGTTAGGGCTAAGCAAAGTTGTGGTTTAGGGACGCGAAGGGCAGGCTCCCGAGTCTTTCGCCTGCTTTTAACACAACGTTCTTTTAATCTAAGTTTTCGAGTACGTAAAAAGTCATACGAAATCAACAGGTCTTATATTTCAACACAAAGAACGGTAAACACAAAGAAAATCACACACGATAACGTGTTTGTTATCTAAGGACAAATTTCTAGGGTTTTTTTTTTTTTTGCGTCTCTATAATTTCTCCTTTGTTATTATTTATTTGATTAATTTGTTTTTAAGAAGTTACGCGAAACGCTTTCTTCTCATACATGCAGAAAAATAATTCATTGCTTGATTTGTCGGTTTCCCACCAGACGCGCCCTCTTCGACCTCTACACCGCTGACCAAGTTCATCTTCTCCCTGGTTACCCAAGGAACGCCTCAGGCTCCCTTCGGGTGGCATTTTACGTCCAGCAGCCAAGGGGACTTTTCATTGGAAATGTGTCCATATTACCTGGAGAAACGCTGGTCAACATTGTTAAAACATACAAATCAGAGATGGAGACAGCCATCGGCGCCAACATTTCACGAGTTGAAGCGTTCATTCAATCCCTCTTGACGCCAACAACAACATCACCGACAACGCTACCGACAACGCTACCAACAAAAGTGCAAGACAGCAATGATACCACCAAGTGGATTGCTATTGGTGTGGGAATTGGGGTGTTTGTCTTGATTTGTTTTATTTTGCTCGTAACTTTATGGTAAGTTGCCTTGAAATTCATCGGCAATAGCCCGAACATTCGATTAACCGAATCTCGTTCAAACTAGCTAGATATATACATAGTTTTTCTCGTTTGGCCAGGTTATAGAACTTTCGATAACTCTAAAGCCTTGGCACAAAAATTAATAACTATTTCATGAATGAATTCAAAATTGAGAAAAATAAGTAGTTTATTCATACACGTAAACACCTAAGGGTTACAAAAACTCGTTCGAACGTGCATGTTAAAAGTCAGAAATTTTTCCTTTGAAAAACGCATTTTTGTGGCATATTTGTGAAATGTAACTTGTTTCGCAAAGCAATGAAATGAAGTAAGGCTCGGAATTTATTATTAATGACAGCCGCTATTATTTAAGCAGAAGGTGCAACGATATTGCGATTCCGGTGTCCTTTTTTTGGCTTGAGTCCCATGTGTAATGTCTTTTTCCCTGAAATAATTATTCCGAATGCAAGAGCTCTTATGAAACCAACTTAGCTTGATTTGCTTTACTAGGTAGAGCACTGCAACCGGTCATTGACAAATGTCACAGCTCGAATTCCAGCCAAGCTAATTTTTCTGGCTACTTGTTATCCACTGCATGAAAAAAACCACGCCTACTAACATCTTTTCTTTTGTACTTTTATGCTATTAATAACTTTTTGTCTGTAATCATCGCCACCATCATCATCATCATCATCATCATCGTCATCTCGCTATTATTTCCAGTTATTTATGAATTATTTATTGAGAGAATTAAGTCCTTTCCTTTCTCTTTTACTTTAGGTTAAAGAAGAAGAAAAACTCGAACATTGTGGTCTTACCCGACAAATCGCTGAGCATGGAAAGTCTCAAGAGAACCAGCATGGGATTTGACAACGCTACACACACTTAAGCATCCACGGCGTAGCTTGGCACCATCAAAACTGATAGTTTAGTTAAAACATTTCTTCTTTAGGAGGGGCATTTGAAAAGGCCTGTCTTGAAAAGTTCAAATGCCAGGGGGGGGTTCCCGGACCGGGGGGAAGTTGAAATTTCGAATTGATTGGCTCATTACTTTATCACATTTTTAGACTACATCGAGCGCAAAATATCGGCAAAGCTCGGTATGCTAGCTTCGTAAAGCGTGCAAGATCATTCAGCGTAAGTCGTTTTTAACGCTTTTTAACGCCATGATACTTCCAGTATTCGACTATTGCGATGTCGTATGGGACTCCTGTGAAAGTCGGAAAAGACTCGACTTTGTTGTTGTTTTTTTTTCTCTCTAAAGTCCAGGCAGCCATGTGATTTCCTGCCAAATAAAACCTTGACTTATATTTGGGTTGCCATACCTGTTGATTGAGTTATTTTACATTGGTGTGCCCGTGGTGTGGACAAATGGGTCGGTGGGCAAAAGTACGGTCACTTGACTGCCAAAATGTCTCAGATGCATAGGTCACCAAATTTTCTTACCCATGGTGCTCCGCCGTGTACGCTTCATGCCCACAAGAGCTCTGCTAAAAAATGGCTGAGGATTGGTTAATTTGCTTAAATAAAGTGTGCATTGTTTAGTTATGTTCACATGACACCGGAGGGATTTTCAAACTTGCTGATAAATACGACCAGACACTTCATTCACATTACGCTCTCTCTTGACACTGAAGTTGAATGGAAGGTATTGAAATTTTTGCACTGTTCAGGTGGTTCCGTGTGAATGGAGAGAAGATTTAATAAAACAGAAAGTAATCTAATAATCTAGGAGCAAATCTAAACTGACTACTAACAGCAAAAACCTTTTATTTTGGTTTGAGAAGCCTGAAAAATGAAATTGAAATATATATTTTTTGGAGCTATAGTAAAAAAAAACTACGGTATGCTATGAAGGCTGGTCATTTAAACTGATGTACAAACGTAGTGTGCAGTACCAAGTGCCACAAGAGACTGTTAAGATGATTTTGTCCATTTAAAGATATACGTATTTTAGCGTAAAAAGGGTATATCTCTACAAATCTAGGCATCCTCGTTTAAATTACGGTTCAGAGACCCGATTCTCAAAAGTCTCGGTAACATTTTGGACCCGAAAAGCTGTTTAAGTTTGCCGCGTTTGCATTCAAAATCAATAATTTTGAAATTGATACAATGAAACTATCAGTTAACAAAGCAACGCTGACTGGTTTGTGCGCCAGAAACTGTGCTACTATTCAACAGGTTTTGATTTTAGAAGTTGCCTTCGGGCCCCGTAAAGCTACCGGGCCTTTCGAGAAACCGGCCCCAGGTTCGAGGAAAGTTTCCTGTCTTTTTCCTGTGCCCGGCGAAGCCAATTCGGTAAGAACTAGGATCGATCAGGGTGGTCCTTATTATCTTTATAGGTAACTCACACCAAAAACATTTTTGGCCACTTGAAGTGCAACTCTAACAAACTAGTAAACTGGACGCCTTGGATGGCCTACAATATGTGGGGTAATGGGGTCGGGAATGTAGTACTCCAACAACAGGTGAGTGTCTTAAACTGATCAGTAGTCTAGCCTGTTAAGGAGGGTCAGAACCCCCTCTTTTCTCCAGGGATGCCGGTCAGAATCCCCTGAGAGAGGTCCCTAGTACTCCTCTTCAGAGCTACAATTACAATACCCAAAAAGAATTCCTTACTGCTCTCCATGCCGGGGTTCACAATCCCCTGAAAGAGGTCCTTAGTCAGGGGGTCACAATCCCCACTCCTATTCACAGGTCCTTAGTCCCTAGGGTGTTTCAGACTCATGGTTATCATGGAAATCATCCTTTCTGTTTATTTCCTATGAACGCCGGACCAAATTAAACCCACTTAGCAAAAATTTGCTTTCTGTCATGTATCACCCAGCAACTGATCATGATGTGAAACTCAGATTAAAATAAGAGAATGGGGGTACTGAATGTATATAAAGCAGTTGGACGACTAGTGTCCCACGGGGAAGGCCTACAGAAGCAGAGGTATAGTAGCCATTCCAGTCCTAAAGTTATGACCAGCATAATAGCATAGCATATCCCTTGGAGCAGCTTTCATTTGAGGAGTAGCCAGAAACAGCGACTAGGTTCTAACTGAGAGCCTTGAATAGGAGATATGCAATCAAATGCAATCAAAAGGAACAAACAATTAAAGGGAATCAGATTGTAATTTGATCAGGCATAACCTACTAACCGGCCTAGTTTATACCCTGACTGGAAGTAAACTGGTTCTACCTATGAAGTGTCCGTACTGAAACGTGATTACCTAACCCAGCCTTGAAAATTTCAGTTAAAGTCTGAATTAGATTCATTAATGAGTATTCTTCTTAGTTCTTTAATACGACCAATAAAAACGCTATTTCTAACACCGATGAAAATGCATTCTCATATTTTTCAAAAGGAAATGATAATTTTTGTGTTATATTTTTATTTTTGTTTTTAATAATTTCAAGCTACAAGTATGGTGCCAACTCATTCTTCTAACAGCGAGAGAGAGGTTCTCCAGGCGTAACTCACAAATGAGAGTACACTTCACATACACCAGTAAGATTTTAAGGGTAGCTAAAATAAGGAAAAGGAGAACATTGCAAAGAATGTAGTTTGGGGACGATCTAAGCATTATTGGTAGTAAGTTCAGGTAAACCAAAAGACACACAGCACCTTATGGAAGGTGAGTGAAGAGCGGCGTCGCACTCAAGGCCGGCTATCTTAAAAGGAAAACATGGGCTGGCGATTGTCCAGCGGGGCCTAACCTGACTGTGAAGCTGGAGTCCTTTCCATTAGCCTTGGGAGTAGTAGCCTAGTGTTTCGAGACGTCCACAACAACTCACGACGCATAAGAAATTAATAAAGGGCGTTGCGGCGAATGTTCTAAGGACTGAATTCGACAGAGTGGTGCAATCAGGTTTCAGAGTTGATGATTACATAAGGAAATCCGGTATTATACGGAGCGTCCCATTTAAGGTAGTACGGATTATTTTTAAAGCTTCGTTGCAGCTGGCTGCCATATCTCCTTTTGGTCCATCTAGGCAAGAGTAAGGGTGTGGTCTAAAGATGAATGAAAATTGGACCTTTTAAATCAGACTGGAAGCAGCTGTAGCTAAACATCTTCCGAGTAAGAAACAGCTTTGAAAAAATTCTTGAACGGAAATACAGCCCCCAGTTATTAGGATATTTTGTCCTGCTGCGAGAAGTGCATTACCATAAACTGAGCGTTGGCAGGAAAGACGAGTCCAGGGCGGCATGCTTCTTTTTCTGAAACACGTTTGAGACACCGGACAGTAGTAGCGCAGAAATCATGTTAAAGCTTTTTGTTTAAATACTAAAGCGGTCGGTAGGGTTGAAATCACGGTGGGCCCATAGCATTGCCATAGGACGCAAAAAGCTGCAATCTACACGGCAAGAAATATGGCATTCACCGTCTCGGAAAACCCTCCGTTAATTTTCGAAAACGCGGCATTTTGCTAAAATTCTCTCGCGTTTTCCGGTCGTAAAATCCACTCTTTTCCCGTCGTTTTCTGGCCGGTGAATTTGAGTATTCGTTCCATTATCCGATAGTTTTCAGGCTCAGTTAACACCAGGAAAACGCTTGTTTTACTGGTGTTAACCGGACCGTTAACGCACGGATTATACAAGGAAAACACACGGAAAACATACGGTTAACACATGAGGAACGGATCGTATTCCGTTGTTCACCGCAGTTTTCCAGTGACTTAACATCGCGTTTTTTGGTGTTTTCTGGTGTTTTCAAGTGGCAAAACAAAGAATTCACAGACGTTTTCCGCCATTCTGCGTGAGTTTTCTCGCGTTTTCTGGGGCAGCGAACAACTAGAAAATGCCGGGAAACAGCATGTTCCCCAACGTTCACCCATCGGTTAATGAGATGTTTTCCATCGTTTCAAAACTTTCTTCTCCAGGAAAACGCGCCGTTTTCAGTATCGAATGCGCTTATTTTCGCACATCTTCTACGTTTCCAGTGTGATCTTATGCTGGAATGTAACTTAGTCCTTTATTCACTGGTGTTTTCGTTCAAAATTTAACATTCGTTGT